TAGTATAAAAATACTTTCTTGGTCTACCTCATGTATTATATTAATCTACTATCCATACATAGACTTTTTGTATCTTTCAAGTTTCTTTGATTAAAGATTTTACACTGTGATGTTTGTTGCTTTGTGTTCCCTTGAAGAAGAATGTGTTTTATGCTGTCTTGGTTTCATTTGTCTGGTGTCTGAGGCTGAACCAAGCCCCAGTGTTAGCTCAATATAGCATAATGTCCTGGAGAAGACATCACTAAACAGAACAAATCCTTTGAAGAAGTCACCTTGGACTGTGAAAGTGCCTGTATTTTTAACTTCACTCACTCCAATTACTTGACAGTTACTAGTTACCTGAAAACAAGATTTGCACTCAAAATATATGAATGATATGAACTTTTATTATAAATCAGTTTAGAAGGAGGAAGGAGGTCAAATTGTCAGAAACACTCCACAGTATAAGATAATAAAACAATAACACATATCTATATATTAAAATAGTATAGTTTAAACATAATTACTTATTGAATATATATATATATTAACATTAAATATAATATAAAACTATAAACATAAAAAAGTGTCCAGGGCACATGCCTCTGATAGTGGGGTAAACAGTCCCTTTCATAGAAAATTGAACATTATAACTGAATAAAAACTAACATTAAATAAAAGTATTTACATAAAAAAAGCATCCAGTAAAAACATTTATTTATTCCTTTTCATGTCCTCCAACCACTGCTCCTTTGGTACAGCCTCTACAGAGGGGCAGTAAACCACACCCTTGTATTGGCTGTGTCCAGTCTCCGCCGTCCTGAACTGTCCGCATTTTTTGCACGTGTTGTGCAGCACCTTTCGGGTCAGTTTTCGGGGGACTGGAGCAGGAGCAGGAGGGGCAGAGGAAAGGCGGAACCCCAGGGCCTGTGGAGCAGCACCTGGGGTTACTGGAACCAGCATCAGGAACTGAGGGCTGGGTGGAGCAGGGAAGAGCTGCCGCTGAGGACGCAGCTGAGGACCTGATGGTGGAGCAGGGAAGAGCTGCCGCTGGGGACGCAGCTGAGGACCTGATGGTGTAGCAGGGAAGAGCTGCTGCTGCTGGGGACGCAGCTGAGGACCTGATGGTGGAGCAGGGAGGAGCTGCTGCTGGGGACGCAGCTGAGGACCTGAAGGTGGAGCAGGGAGGAGCTGCTGCTGGGGATTGACAGCCATGGGTGTTGCCACCGAGGGTGATACTTTCCTCTTCAACTTCGCCAGGCCCACGGTGCTGCTGGGCAGGTGGTACTGGTGAGCTGGGCCTGGCTGGGGGGGAGCAGACGAGGGGCGCACATTAGCAGAGGGAAGAGGGTTAGCTGCCACAGACAAGCGGCTGGGCAGGTTCAGCCCCTGCATCACCACCATATTTTCCTGCCTCTTCAACCTCTTATTGTGCCACTGCACCAGGGTGGTGTGGCTCACATCCACCAGCTGCAGGGTGGTCTGCAGGCGGGAAAGAGGCAGCAGGCTGGGAGGAAGCAGCAGGTTGGGAGGAAGCAGCAGGCGGGAAAGAGGCAGCAGGCTGGGAGGAAGCAGCAGGTTGGGAGGAGGCAGCAGGCTGGGAGGAAGCAGCAGGCTGGGAGGAAGCAGCAGGCGGGAAAGAGGCAGCAGGCTGGGAGGAGGAGAAGCTCAGGTCATCGAGCCATGGCACAGTATCTTCCTCAAAGCCCTCGTCTTCTTCTTCTTCCTCGCCCTCATCTATCTTCTCCAGCATGTCCTCTGTCTCCTCTGAGTCGGGGTTCACCGCCATGGGCTGTCCAGTCTGACTCAGCAGGTAGTCAACACCAAGCAGCTCTCCTATGGAAAATAACAGAAACACGCACACAGACACATTATTAGTTGAAATTCAAAACATTCTATATCCTTATGTAATTGTTTTATTTTAACGTCAAACATTAATACACTAAAAACCCACAAACCAAAACAAAAGCCACATCATCATCATCATTTAAGACATACCAGTGTATCTGGCAGGTGGCCTGAAGTTTGGCACAAGTACCCGGCCAAACACCTTCAGGCTGTTGGTGTTGAGACACTGGACCACATCCCCGGCGTAGGTGAGGAGAGATGAGGGCTTGCTGGTTACCGCTGCAGTCCCCCGATCCTGGTTCCACCTGTTGAGGCCTTCCTGCAGGTACAACTGGAAGTTCAGTGCGTTTGCACTGGTTCCTGGGAAAACAACAAAATATGGTTTTGCTTTTCAATCTTTAAATGTGATGAAAAAAACCTTACAAATTATTTAAAATCCCACAAGAGAGACACCAACCTGGAATGAACCTGTTGAGGTGGCAGTGAAACCACTCCAGGGACGTGGACCCTCTGGCACAGCGGTACCTGGTCAGGACAACGCCGCCTTTGGTGGTGGTGGTGCCTGTCACTGTGTACAGCTGCACACCTGGCACGTGCTGGATGCGCTTGACGTGCCGTTTCTGCACCTGCCAGATGTGCTCCATGCGCACCTGTTCCAGCAGCGGCACCCCCATGAGGTCTCTCCCTTTTGGCCCCTCCAGTGTTTGCAGCAGCTGCTCGATTAGGCTGATGGTCCCCTTCTCCTCGCGCGTCCTCCTTCTGCAGTACTGGCTCAGCTCCTTCTTAGTGATTCTCCTGTCCACCAGGAGATCAGTAAGCAATGGCACACCCTCCTGTCTGAGCTGCTCTCAGCCTGCCGCAACAGACTGAGGTCCCCTGCATCCCACTCAAAGATACATGCAGACAGGCAGCCCATGAAGGTGGGGTAGAGGGGATGAGCATCGGTGGTGCAACCGACAGCCAGCCTCCTCATGAAATGCCAGATGTCCAGTCTTATGTGGATGTCTGGCCACTGTGCAAACCTGGTCTGCAGCTTGCTCTCCCCCTCGCTCACGCAACAGCCACAGTCCACATACAGCAGCACAGGCGGGGGGGGACATGCCTGGCGGTACAGCTCCATCACTCCAGACACCATCCTGTCCAGTCCTGGCCCCTCCTGCACTGTCAGGACACTGGTCAGGACCTGGCCAACTTCGTTGCTGATTGAGGTCAGCCAGAGAGCTGTCCCTCTGCCGTGGCCAGCCAGCTTCTTTGTGATCTGGAGGGTGATGTTTTAATTACATATGTTTTAGATATTATCTATAGCAGTTAAGACACAGCACAAACTTATGTAATGTTACCACTGACAATAACGTAAACATGTATATGAGAGTATATATTACATACAAAGAAATATATTACAGTTAGATTATTTCTTACCTTTTTGGTTGAATCCATCTTTAAGATGGAACCAAACGTGGAGGTGATGCTGGCCTTAATGTGGTCCAGACGGGAGAGGATGTCCCTGCTGTAGACGGTCAGCAGCCAGCGACTGGTGGGGACGTGGATGGGCTCCGGGGGCTCCTGGCAGATCACTGGGAAGAGGCTGGGCTGATCCATAAAGTTAGCACACTCCCCCACATAGTGTGCCAACCGGTTCAGCCACTTCTCACCGTGGTTCTCCCGGAGCTGCTTCGCCAGTCGTGCTGGACTGTTGCCGAGAGTCTGGTCCCGAAGCAGCCGAATGACACGTATGTCACAAGCATACCTGAAAAGTATATTTAATTTAATCCTGGGTGTGTATACACGTCATATAACAATACAGTGATTAGTTACATGTTTATTGGAGGATAATTTAAGTGGATTAAGTCTTTTCAAAACTGTTTTACTCACTTGCGGGTCAGAATCATTTCAAACAGCTTCTGGTGGGGCAGGTCCAGCTGGTCCCGGACAGTCTGACTGGTTGACAGATAGTTCAGGGAACACACGCTGCACCTGAGTGTCTCTGTCACCATCAGGTAATACCCGTCGATGTATAGGACCTTTCGAGCCCTCTTGTGGACACCATAGCCCGTCAGCTGCTTCCCACAAGCCAGGCAGGACACCTTCACCTTCCACAGGTGGTATGGCATCCACACCATCAGCCGATGGGTGAAGAAGCTGTCGGGTGCTGGGGTCTGGTGGTAAATGAGGGCTGGGACAGGGGGCTCATACCACAGCTTTACATCTGACCGCAGTTTACCGGAGGGAAAGAGGGTGCTGGCAATCCACCTGTGGTCCTGCACAGGGATGGTCTTGCTCAGTTCCCCCAGCAACCAGATTGAAGCTGCAACCGCAGCTGCTGCTGAAGGAACTCCTCCAGACTCGTCCTGTTTAAAAGACAATAACATATAAGAGTAAGTTTATTGCATAAATAAAGGCTATACTGAAGATGATTTACAACAGAGCCAGACCAACGAATAGATGCTGTACTCACAGGGGCTACTGCAAGGCTGCTGCTTACAGAAGGGCTTGGGGTCCTCACAGAGGATGGAGAAGGAAGAGGAGAAGGAGGAAGAGGAGAAGACCTCGGTGTCCTCACAGAGGATGGTGCAGGGGTCGGTGTCCTCACAGAGGATGGTGCAGGGGTCGGTGTCCTCACAGAGGATGGTGCAGGGGTTGGTGTCCTCACAGAGGATGGTGCAGGGCTCGGGGTCCTCAAAGGGGATGGTGCAAGAAGAGGAGAAGAGCTCGGGGTCCTCACAGAGGATGGAGAAGGAAGAGGAGAAGAGCTCGGGGTCCTCACAGAGGATGGAGAAGGAGGAGAATTGCCACTAAATTGGGCTTTAGTGAGTCAGACTTTGACCCACCAAAACGTGATTTAGTGAAATGAAAAGAGAAAAAGATATAATTTAATGATGCAACACAAACACAATGGTTCATACAAAAGATTAATTGATTAGAAAGAACTCACCATTGACAAACTCAGCGGGGGGCGCAGGAAAGACCTCGGGGTGGCGGCAGACGCTGCAGCACTTGCTGAAGTCGCACCAGGGTCCGAGTCTGAAGCCACAGACTGTGGGGCTTCAGCAGGAGTGGCAGGCTGCTAAAAGAACAGAATTACGACATGTGATGTAACTGCAACAGCGTTATAACACAGATGCGATGCAAGATGAAAATTTATGTGATGTCATTTTGAAAGAGATCACCTTAACGGTGTGAAAGCCACAGTTACAGGCCTTGGACCCTCCAAAGAGGGTGCTCTGTCCATGGGCCTGCATGGGGCATTTCTCAATCTGGAACAATCAGAATCGTAATTTACAGTCCGTCTGATTGATACTATCTGCACCATGAAATCGACCATTTTTCATCAAGTGAACTGCATGTTAATGACCGTAACAAGTAATGGGTAGAAATTTTGCAATACTTTACCTTCTGGTAGAGGTCATACCACTTCCGTTGCCTTGGGGCTGGTTTATTACCTCCTGAAGGCCAAAGGCCAGTGGTGGCAAATGCCCTCAGCCTCGCCATCCACTCGCCATTTCCCATGGCCTTGTGGCTCTTAGGTTTGATGCTCATCTAATAATATGAACGTAATATATTTGCATTCAGATACAGTAATGACATGGATATATCTACAACCATTAACAGCTGTTATCTCCCTTCTTCAATGCTCCAGATGGGCTAATAATAATGTCATTGGCTCAAATGTCATTGGTAGGTAGCTATTTCACCAGTTAATCTGTAAGCACACCCACAATAGCTCTTGTCAAGTACAACACTGAATGTGAACATGCTTTGAATTATTCACTGTGACACTGCGGCACATACATACTTGCTCATGTAACTTGTCAGAAGCAAACATAATATATTACGTTCTGTACAAAATATGTAAGTTACAGCAGCTGTGTTAGCTATATAACGTTGGTTACCTGCCACCGCTGTCTTAAACAGGTAGTAAGCCTACTAAAATATTCTGATACAATGAAACGTTTCTATAACTAATATAGAAACTATTTCTATTAATAGAAACACAACAGGTTTTACCTTTGACGTTAGCGATTGCTAGCTATGCCGACTGACGTTGCCTATAATAATGCAACTGAGACAAACGATGAGATGCAATGCATATAATGGGTGTGGCTAATTAAGAAGGGGAATAAAGCATGCATGGCTGTTTAACGTTACACTTATATTAATTTTTTATACCGTTATTACATTTAAGTTAGTGATATGCGTTAGCGACTGCTAGCAGTTAACGTTAGCTAACGTCGTGCCTTCATTATAACGTAATGTGACACTCGACAACAAAAGATGGATATATATATATATAATATAACTAAGCATGTATGTCTATAAAATAAAGACATTTATTACTTACTTCTGACAGAGTTGTTAGAAGCCGTTTCGCCGGCGACGTCCAATGTCAGTCACTGGCGGAGGGACTGGAAAGAAGCGCAGCGGCGACGTCCAATGTCAGTCACTGGCGGAGGGACTGGAAAGAAGCGCAGCAATAAGTGACGTCCAATGTCATCCCGCGCAGTGATTGGGCGCCATCCAATGTCACATTGGATATCCCGTTGAGCGATTGGCCTCCGACATTGGACCTTCAAATGCCAGGATTGGATGACAAGATTGGAGCTTGACAGCCCATTCTGAACCAAGTAGAGCCAACAGCCGTGGGAGAGTGGGTGTGCCTCGGAAGGGAAAAAGCTTCTCTTGAAGGCGGCCTTACTCAGTGGACTCGCACAGGTAGACTCGCTGGTCTTTACCTAAGGAGCAGACGCTAACGCTGACGCTTCAGTGGTAGGTTTCACTAAAGTACTGTGAGTCTAATTGCACACAGGTGTTGGGCATTAAGAATGATTGCACCCAGCTGAGATCGCCCTCCGGATTAAAAAGACAAAAGCTTGGTTTCAGTGGGTGGGACACACACAAAGTTGTTTGATCTTGCTCAGCCGGCCTTCAGATTCTAGTGGATTGCTCAGTAAAAGTGCAAAGAAATAGCACCTCAAGAGTAGGAAAGATAGAGTAAAGTATTACCTCACTGCTGCAAACTCTTATTTGCCCCACGATTCTTGTCCTGTGTTTAAGAGTGGACTATAAAGTGAGCTTGCCATTTTGTAGTTTAATGGTGCATTACCGCCACCTATTGGACTGGAGTGTGAAACGAGAGATTAAACATAAAATAAAATAAACAAACAAAACAGAATTCTCAGTTTTTTTAAGAAACTTAATTGTATAACAACATATCTTGCTTTTGGTTTTCCCCAAGAGACCTGACAACAATGTTTTCTGAACTATTCAGTGGCTGTGTCCGAAATCCCCACTCATTCACTACTCCCTAGGGGCTATGTAGGGAGTTGTATGTAGAGCACTATATAGTGAGCTCACTGGCATTATTAAAACAACCCTTTCGGACACTACCCCGATCATTATCAGCACAGTGCATGATGGTATATATGGCTTGGTTAGTAACCATTGGTTGTACACTACTTTTCAAAATGCATTCTGGGATACATTGAATGGACTATATAGGGTATAGTAATTATCATTATACATTCGGACAGCATCTACAAAATGGCGAGCTCACTATATAGTCCACTATACAGTGAGTAGTGGGTGATTTCGGACACAGCCAGTGTTTGGAACTATTGGCTGCCCCGTGACACGCATCACTTCCGCATTCCAGTTCCAATCTATGGACAGAAGTCAATGGGAGTGTCGTAACCCTCATATTTAAGGGCTCTGGTTGTGATCACGTTGAAAGTGACCAATCATAAGAGGGTCAGTGGTGCCCTCCTTGGTTTCCGCCCCCAAATTGTCTAAAGTCATGTAGGCAGAAATAAGGGGCGAGTTAAATCTCAAAACGTTTTGCAACGGTTTGTAACATTTTCGAATTGAACGACATGTTTCTTTGCAACGTTGCGCAACGTTCTCGTTTGGTGTCAGGTGTTACCCAATCAGCTGCAACAAGTTTGTAAACACAACGGCGTTAAAAATGCAGGAAAATGCAGTGCGCTTGCGTACACACCAGGGTCGTCAGGGGACCACCGTTTCCGTTGAAAATAATGTTTTGCTAAGTTTTGTCTGCACTGAACTTGCCCCAGCTGAGCGAGCAGAAATCCACTGCGCGAGCTAAACACCACTCTGCGAGCAGAAGCCCACTGCATGCGAATGAATTTTTGAATGAATTTTTTAAGCCATTAATATAAGAATAACATAAGTAAAGTTGCATTTTTCATTGATGCTTGGTCAGCATTCTTGATGTTATGCTGACTGAGGATGACCATCCTCTGTCGTGTTTTTGCAAAGCATGAATTCCTTCAGCAAGTTCACTCAAAGCTCACACAGGGTCATAAGCAAATTCACTCATACTGGCTATAATAACCAGAGGTTGGAAGATGACAATCAAACCCCCTTAATCAGTAATTAAGCATGTAGTCTTAATATTAGCAGATTAACACATCAGCAGTTCCTCATGTAATCACAACAGTAGATAACAGCAGAACGAAGCATGCACTGTCACAGTGTCAGCAGATCTTGCACACCTGCAGCCTCTCCTATGGTCATAATCTACAGTAGATGACAGTTGGACAAGGCAAACCATCTGCAGCCTCTTCCTGCAGTCATTCCTCCCGCTCAAGGATCTAACCACAGTGAGCTTGTTTCTGTGTTCATGACTACAGTTCACTACTTATAAGTAAAAACCAAAGCACATCTATGTAAAAAGAAAATGATTAAGAATGATTAATGATTAATACTAATAAAATGGTTAAAAATGATGATATAAGAATGATTACTTATTGATTAAAGTAACTGATTAATGATAATAAAACTGATTAAAATTATTAATATTAATTAAGGATAATCACTGATGACTGTTTCTTGACTGATGTCTAACTTTTTGTCTGCAATGCTCCCCCTCTCTGTGTCCTAGGCATGCCCTCTGCCGATCACGCTATTTTAACCCAAACCCTGACTTTGTGGAATAAGCTGTTGTCTCTTGTGCTGTGTGCTATAGACAAGACATTCTTACTGTATTGATGTCTGTTTTGTAACACAATTTTTACTAATTCTGCTTCTACATTTTCCTTTGCTGGTGTTTTTGATGATGCTTGCTGTGCTCACTCTGCTACCAGAGCACACATGCCTGCTTACACACAGAGTTATAGAGTTTCAGCGTTGTGATCTTAACTTTACACTATAAAATAACACTCTAAATGATGACAATAGCTATTGAGTTTTGACACTGTAATCTTAACTTTACAATCTAAAATAATACTTTAAATGATGCCAATGCAGACCACCTTCGCTCTAGCAATTAATGATAACAATTTAGGCTGTAATGTTCTAAAATAATTCAGCCCGATGCGTCGATGCAGTGGTCTCACTGAAATTAATAAGCATGGTTGTGTTTTTTTTAAGTAGTGATAATGTCAGTTTGATCCCTGTCTGTGTGACTTCAAATTGTTTATATATTACAATTACTTACACAGAAGCAACATCTCCGATGCCATCTGGCAGAAAGATTTATTCCTCAGTGATCCCTTTCCAATTTATCCTCCTCCCAACATCATTGTGGAACATGTTGGCACGTTTTGCGTTGTGGCCCCAATGGCTTCCAGGGAGGAAATATAAAAAAGAAAATCAGAAATACTTTATTGATCCCTGAGGGGAAATTCTTTTGTCACAGTTGCACACATATCAAGGCATCAGGAATAGAAAAATAATTATAGAAAGTAGGTAGAATAAGAGTATATAAATATAAGATATAAAGAAAAATATAAAGGATTGTGGGTATTTCCAATATTTACATTATTAAAGAATCATTATGGTATTAAAGAATTATTATTGTGAAAGGTAATACTGAATAAATAGCAGCAGAATAGCCACAGAGAATATTGCACATTAATTATTAAACATACAATATTGCACAAAACTGGTAATAATGTCCAGTATAATCAACCCATTCTCACTCCCAAGTCGCCTCATATGGACGCATGGTCAAGAGCCATAGTCTGCACCCTGACTTTGAACCAGGAGGTTTGTGTCCCGTGTGAAACAAAAAGTCAACATTAAATATTTTTATTTAGGCAAGTTAAGTAAATTGACTTAAGTGAAATTAGTTAACTTAATGCTCCCGTGTTTGAGCAGCTCATCATGGAGTGGGTGGGAGACATTGTCTAAGATGACATGTAATTTGGACAGAATCCTCCTCTCTGACACACGACAGAGAGTCCAGCTCCACCCCCACAACCTCATTGGCCTTGCGGATCAGTTTGTTGAGTCTGTTGTGTCTGCTACCCTCAACCTGCTGCCCCAGCAGCAAACAGGATAGCAATGGCCACTACAGACTCATAAAACATCCTCAGCATTGTCCGGAAGATGTTGAAGGACCTCAGCCTCCTCAGAAAGTTGAGATGGCTTTGACTCATTCTGTAGAGGGCTTGGGTGTTCTCGGCCCAGTCCAGTTTATTGTCAACTTGCTCTCCCAGGTACTTGTAATCCTCCACACTTGACCCCATGGATAGAAACAGGGGTCACTGGTACCTTGGCTCTCTAGATCCACAACCATTTCTTTAGTCACGTTGAGCTGTAGATGGTTCTGCTCACACCATGTGACAAAGTCACCCACCACAGCCCTGTCCTCAGTCTCATCAGCCCTGCTGATACATCCAACAGCAGAGTCATCAGAAAACCTCTGAAGATGGCAGGACTCTATGTTGTAGTCGAAGTCTGTGGTGTAGATGGTGAAGAGAAAGGGAGAGGGGACAGTCCTCTAAAGGGCCCCGGTATTGCTGACCACACTGTCTGACACACAGTGTTGCAGACGCAAATATTGTGGTCTGCCAGTGAGGTAGTCAACAATCCAGGACACGAGGGGGGCATCCACCTGCATTGCTGTCAGCTTCTCACCCAGCAGGGCTAGCCGGATGGTGTTGAAAGCACTGGAGAAGTCAAAAAACATGACCCTCACAGTGCTTGTCCAGGTTGGCGTAGATGCGGTTGAGCAGGAAGATGATGCTGTCCTTAACTCCCAGTCGGGGCTGGTAGGCGAACTGGAGGGGGTCCAGGAAAGGTCTGACCATGGGCCGCAGCTGATCCAGACTCTCCAGGTTCTTCATAATGTGGGAGGTCAGTGCCACAGGTCAGCCTGACGTCATGCCAAAGCGTGTAATACTCACGCTGGTCCGCTAGAGGATGCGTGTCATTGTCACGCTTTGCCTCCTCAAAGCGTGACAGTGACACGCATGCATGACGGTTTGTACAAGCAGGTGGTGATGTGTTGGAGAGCCAAAGGTATTTTTCTTTCACCTTAGTACAGTAATAGTACTGTTAACACTTAGCTTGCTTCCTTTTTTTCCCTTACTCTCCCTATGGCCTCCCTACACCCTTTTTTTTTTTTGTTGTCTGACCATGTTTTTGTCTTCCTTTCCAATATAGTATTATTGAAATGGCTGCTCAGCAAGACAGAGGGAGAGCAGAGGACGTTATTTTCATTGCAGACATGCTTCTTGCTCAAAACAATTAGACCGGGAAATTTGTATGAACTGCTTAACAGTTGTATTTTAGTGTTATCATAAAATACTAACTTTCTGTCATGCAAGGCAAAGGAAGCCAATGGCAAAGCAACATCCACTAAAGACAGCAAATATAAT